AGGGGGCCATTTAGGGATTTGGGGCAAAAATCTGTCTGGGGATTGGTCCTGCTTTGAGCAGGGGGTTGGACTCGATGACCTTCTGAGGTCCCTTCCAATCCTGATATTCTATGATTCTATGAAAGGACACTTTAGGAGTGAACAAAAACAACAAGGAGTCTGGTGGCACCTTACATTTAAAAATTAAGTACCAAGGCAAAGGAAGCTCCAGTGCATATGTGGCAGAGATGCGTAAGGAAAAAGTTCTTGGCTTTTTTCAATTTCCTTTGTTACAACTATGCAAGATGCCCTATTGCAGTAGTTACTCCTGCTCCTTTTGAGGTGGGGTAAAGAAGGGAGTACACAGCATCCCAATTACAGAATAGGACTGCTTGGTAGGCTCAGATTTTTGGCCCCAAAGGCAACATGGTACTTAAGTAAGGAGCCTAATTTTAAACTCATAAGTTGGACAGTTAGCCAAATGCTTAAATATCTTGCTGAATCAGGGCCTTATTTAACTTGCGTTTTGGAAACTCAAGAGTTAGTGCTACTCTGCTTATGGAAGAAGTGTAATGTATCCTTCTCCAGCCACCTGAATACGATGGGTTGTCCTAATGCCCAAATGATTATGAGGTTTTGTGGACTGAATAGGACCCTTAGTTATTATTTAATCAAAAACAAGAGGAATGAGGCTGCACACTAGAAGCTCATTGCATAAATCCAGAATTATCTTGGACTAGCATAGAGCTGGGTGATAATTAAAGTGATTGAAAGAAATTGTTTCAAAACACCAGTTACTTAATGGACATACCCACCACGCAACAGCTTATGTAAATTATAACAAAGTTGACACTCCAGACCAATGAAATACAATCTGTAATCATATATTGATCAGAAGAACAATATTGTGTGATGTGATAAAAAAGAATGTTGTCTGGCAATTTTCCCTGGTTTTTTTAGAACTACAAGAAATATATTCATCCACAGCCCATTAAAACTGTGTGGTTAAATTCATGCAACTCACTGAGTGTTTAGCTGTAATTATGTGTTCCTGGGTGAGAGACAGAAAAACTGCAGCAAACATGGCCTCCATGTAACAGATTAAAAGGTGATACTTATACAGCAATTAATTATACCTACATTTCATTAATATTTAAAATATACACTTGATTTAAAGGTTCTTTCTTCTTTAGAAGATCATTAATCTTATAGTGAACAGACTATCTAATTGTGGCCAAGTGTTGTTAAAAGAGCATACTTAAAAGAAAATGGAGTAAATCAATAAAATACCTCTGCCTAATAAATCAATTTCCAGAGACAGGAGAATTCATATAGTCTATGTGATTCTAGGAAAAAGAACTTTACAACTGACAATGAAATACAGCTACCTCCCAGCAAAGATTGTGAGAGGAAATACACTTGCCCAGTATCACACAGTAGCAGAGTGGGGAATAAAACACCAGTCTCCTGATTTCCTGTCCTGTATCCTATCCCAGGACGCCCACTCCCATCTCTACATAAACCTCTACTATTAGGTCACTTGAATAATCTTGTGGCACCTTTGAGACTAACAGAAGTATTGGGAGCATAAGCTTTCGTGGGTAAGAACCTCA